AATAGATTAAATAGACCCAACAGGTCAAAGATGTTAACATGACACTGTCACTATGCAACAGTGAAACAGGGTTTCCAGTATAGAGCTCTTAGCCTGCTTATTCCCATGGCAACATGTACCGTTACACTTTTGATAACCTTTTATTAAACGTACAGAAAAAGAAGGGGAAACAGCTGTAGCATTTGAAATGTAAAGTATTAATTAAGGCTTTTCTGTTAACATTATCCCTTACCCTCCAACTAGTGAGAGGTTTTTTTTATAAGGAAGAAACAGTCTTTTAGATGGTAAAGAAGGCAATATGACCCAGATCTTCAAAGGAATCACTATACTCCATGCAACCTCAGGCTCCCATCAAAGCAGGTGGACTCAGACTGTTCTAGACCTGCAGTAGACACAGTTGAGTGCACACTGGGAGGAATTTTCAGATGGGATATTTAAAAATATTAAATGATGTCTCTTCTACTTGAGTGGCACAGGCCTGATTTTCAATGCTTGTGTGCCTGGGAGTATGTGCAACTGCAGCCACTCTTCTTTCAAATCCCCAAAACTTAAGCAGGCAGCCACAGTAGTTACACACAGAATGTCTAGACTGCTGTGTCTAGACTGCATCCCTTTTCCGTAAAAGGGATGCAAATTAGATATATCGCAATTGCAAATGAAGCGGGGATACGGGATCTTTCAGAAAAGGCTTTATTTTCCGAAAGATCCGCGTCGAGAGTGGTGCTTTTTTCCGGCAAAGCTCCGAGCTGGAAAAAAGCCATTTTTATGCTAATGAAGCGGGGGAGATTTTAATCCCCGCTTCATTTGCAATTGCGATGTGTCTAATTTGCATCCCTTTTACGGAAAAGGGATGCAGTCTAGACACAGCCATTAGGTCTTTGCTTGCTGCTCTCAGTGTCAGAAAGATCTCATTACATTTTTTTTGATAGGGTTACCAGATGGTTTCAAAAAAACACCAGACACACTTGATCTCAGATCGCGGGGAGGAGGGAGACTGGCCAGGAGAGGAGCGGGGATGGCTGGGAGGAGGTCGGGGGGAGCAGGGCTGGCTGGGGGACTTCGGGCGTGGGGGGAACTGGCCGGTGGGAAGCAGAGCTGGCCAGAAAAGGTTTGGGGGGAGCGGGGCTGGCCGGGAGGGAACTGGCTGGGGGGGAGCTGGGTTGGCCAGGAGAGGGTTGGGGAGAGTGGGGCTGGCTCATGAAGATTGGGGAGGGGGTGGGAACCAGCCGGCAGGAAGCAGGGCTGGCCGAGAGGGGGTTGGAGGGAGCGGGGCTGGTGAGAGGGAGGAGAAATGGGGGGGGCCAGCCGGTGGGGAGCAGAGCTGGACCGGGCGCATGCAGATCCCAGGGTGCTGCCTGTCCTGCTCATGGTCCCAGCAGGGCACACGGGTGAGGCTGGCCCTGGGGATTCCATCCCGCCCTGGCCCCGCCTCCACCCTCCTGCTCTGAGTGGCTCTACTGTGTAGTTGCGTATTGCCTGGCTGGTAGACACACTCACGCAGCGTGAGCATGTCTACCAGCCAGGCAGTACGCAACTACGTACTGATACTCATGATTATAATAAAACTTAATTAATTAGAAAATACTGGACATTTACATTTGTTTCCCAGACAGAAAGCTCAAATCCTGGATGGTCCGGTTCAAAACCGGACACCTGGCATCCCTATTTTTGGAATGGGGTTTCTCTGCAGTCCTAACTTTGCCCTGTTTGGCAAAGTTCTGTGTGCTGCTGTTTGATACCCTTTCTTCCTTGCCCCAAGAGATACCCTCAGTTCAATGGCACTGTGCTAGCATCTTTTTTAAGTGGATGGAATTTCCAGCCTGCTTCTAAAACAGCAGTCACCCTATAATGTACCCCTTTCCTCAGATGTGTCTTTATTGTTAATTTAACTGACAATCTAATCCCAAGGTGAGCTGGGCTGCTCCTGTCTCTGTAGGACCAGAACACTTTGTTCCTATCCTTAGTTCTCTTCTGTCTCAGATACTCTGGAACTACAGAAGTTATGCTCCATATCTGGAGTTGATGGGACTCCACCTGGTCTGGTTACCAGCATCAGTCAGCAAACAGGTCTTCATCTTTAAGCAAGGACCCCAGAATAAGTCAGCTGAACACCTTATAGCTCTATGCCTGTCCAGTTCCACAACCTCCATGACTGGCCCCTTTAAGGTTGATGGAACTAGTAGGAAGAAGAGCATTAGCAGAGCTGTGGTGCGGTGTTTGTAAATTGCTTTGGTATCCTTGGAATGAAGGCTGGAACATGAATTACTATTAATGGCATACACTTGAGACTATTCACTGAAATTAATAATCAAAATTATTACACTGGATAGCAGATGTAAATACTGCTATGGGAGAGGATTATTTATTACTCCCTATCCCCCGACACTCACATACCTATACCTGCTGTTTAATGGTGCTTCCACTAACAATATATAATGTATTATAAAATATAGTATCAGGATAGAATAGAGAGAAATATTTTTAAAAGAAAAAAAAATCAGTTTCATTTGCTAAGAATGTCTTGAACCTCTGGCTCAAAATTAAGATCTGATTTAAAAAAAAAGAACTGAAAGCAACACTAAATTGGTCACACTTTAAACAAACAAAAATCATCTCATTTCAAAAATGCCTTTTAAAAACGTTAAGGTCTAGTCTAAAAGCATAGGGTAGATGCTGTATAACAGAATGACGTGATTTAATAATTAAAACAGCATATATAAAATATAAATGTGAAATATTAATGAATTAAATTAAATGAAGGCTACTGAAAGCCAATTGTCTTGTAAAAGATCTGTGATAGCTAAACTAATGAGATGTATAAAGATTAATTTAGGTCTCTGTTGCAGGAGGTGATTATAAATTGTTAAAATGCCACACCAAGTTGCTAGGTTGTTATTGAAACTTATGAAGTACATTTAAAAGAGCCTATAAATATTAACGGAATGAAAAATTAGCTTTCATGGTACATTTTAGTCCTAATCCCATTACACATTCCAGTGTGCAAGGTATCAGATGTCTCACATTGTATTGATCTGCAGAGACTATAGACCAGCGTTTCTCAAAGTGGTCCATGGACCACATTAAGTCACTGCTGTAGACTATGATGTTTTAGAGCCATGATAGTTACAGCCAAAAGGAAAACATTAAGGAATTTACTTTTATCATAAATATTCTTGGGTTTATTTCTTTGCAGGATTGTCTTCACTGCAGTAATCACTGGGTGAAATTCTATGGCCTTTGTTATATGGAAGGTCGGAATAGAGTGATATCTTCTGGACTTGGGATCTATAATTCTCACTGTAGCAACATGCATGGAGGGAGGAGCATAGGTTGCAGAAGAGAAGTATTTGGAGGAGAAACAGGGAAGTCAGTCTGTGTACACACATGAATAGGAATGTTAAGGTGTAGCTGGAGTGATTCTATAAACAGTTGCTTTAAAGAAGAGCCATGTTTGTTGAATAAGAATGGAATCCTCATGTTATCATCCAACACCATTGGGCATGAAATGCTCACCCAAAATAGATTCCCAGGAAATCTAAAAATGACCTAAAATATCAGTTTTCAAGGCATTTTTTCTGACTTCCATAAGTGACAAAAAATCCAGGCCTAGACCAGGCCATACTGAGAAAGTACAACTACCAAGCACACCTAGCGAGAAAGATTTATAACTGTTCTGGTCACAAAATGTATTTTGTATGAGTTCAAGGTGAGGCACATTCAGAGTGGCTGTCTTACCACATTGATGTCCATCATTTGCAGAGAAATCCCATCAGTTTCTGGGCAACCTTGGAAGGTGAAATGCTGATCCCTATAGTTGCCTGGATCTCTAAAGGGCATGACTGCTTGTTCCTGGCTCAGTGCTGTCATGGAGACATGAGGGAATGGCCAAAAGTACAGGCCAGGTACTTGCATGGACTAACCCTGAGAGAATTACCTTCTCCATGAGCTTCTGAGAAACAAAGCTGCAGAGTCCTTCCACTCACGGCACAAGAACCTCCACACACACCCCATGGATGCCATACAATGTTCCCTCTAATTTTTTCTATCCACACGCAGAATAATTTTTGTTATGTGCACCCAGGCATGTGAAAATGTGCACCACCAATAGAAAAAAAAACTAGCTGTGGGTGCTCTGCTAATCAGTTGGGTATCATTTGAATCTCTCCTGAGCACCACACAAACAAAATTTACAGGAAACACTGATTCAAATACCCCATGGGACTTGTTCAAAGAGGATTTTGTGAGATCAGAAGGAGGTGAAGATGAGCCCCTCATTAACAGTTCCAAAAGACCAGATTTTCCACTCCTTTCACCTCCTCTGTGGGAAATTGGGGAGTGCTAGGATCTTGCATACAGTATAAAGATCATGCATGGCATATACAAGAGAGACTTGATTCAGGTCTGATACTTGCATTAAAACACTGAATAACTGATCACTGCATGGCTATATTATTATTTCTAGTACAGTCGGGCCTGAGCTCCCTGTGAGGAATCAGGCCATTTTGTAACAAGCTCATCATAAACAAATAACACAAAAAAAGTCTGTGGCCTAGCCAGCTCACAATCTTGAAACTGGATACTAAACAGGTGATGTCTTGCATTATCCTGTAATGTTGGATCTATTTGTATTATACTGCTCTACACAAGAACCAGGAAACATTTACTCATAAGCAAGAGAGATTTCCCCTAGTTTCTTTCAGTGAAATGAACCACCACCATTTTGCAGCTCTCAGGTGATTGTAGTTTGCAAAGTTGCCTTCTGTAAATGTCAGGACACCTGATACGGTCATTTCTGGAAATCAGATTTCAATATCTGGGCCTGTGTAGTTATGTTTCCTCCTGCCCTCTTGGTTTTCTCTGCCATCACATTGGGTTGGCATCCTTTATGTCCATCATATCAGAAAAGCCAAGGGCTGGACAAGCACAGAGACTGTAACCATTGCATCCTTAGAGGTGCTCTTGTTATGCTTATAAAAAGCACACAGGATCTTTTTCCAGGGGAAAAGGCAATATGCCGCGTTTATTGAGAATATAGTAGTGAAGCAGTTAGCGCACACACACACACACACACTCACTCACTCACTCACTCACTCAGAGAGATAGTGCATAGTTACCAGACCATTGTGGCTCAAGTCAGTCTTACTGGCCAGGCAAAGCTGACTGAGTGAGGAGTTGGGATCCTTTGATTGCAATTTGAGGCTTCTCTGAGGCTTGGCCTGCAGGACTGAACCTAGAGTTCCATGGCAAGAACTCCCCTTCTTATACTTGTAAGTTCCCATTTGGGTCTATGGATATTGCAGTGTCATGCTGCAGTCATCCAATCTTAAGAGGTGTTATTCTGCATTCTCCAGGTTATCCTTTGATGGTGATTGTCAGGATTCCCATCGTTGTCTCAGTCTTGGTGGGGTCTGTGTCTGTCTCCAGGGTTTGTCAATGCTGCTAATTCAATTCAGCCTCAGACACAATTACTGTTTTGTTATCTTCAGAGTTTCCACTTGTTCTTGATCACCTGGGCATCTGAGATGGCTTTCACTCACAAACCCCTCCACTCACACCAAACAATTGTACAGAGTTTCAGACAAGATAATAATTACACAACTTAGTTTGTGATGCAGAGAAGGGGTACAACTTAATTTGCAAAGTTAACAGGGAGCAAGACCTTTCAGTAAACATTATCTAATCATGAGAGAGACACAGAGAGAAATAGAAGCATCCAGAACTTATAAGCAAGTCATTACATCAAATCATTATGCATCATACTTATAACCGTATAACCAATATTAAAATATATGTTTTTGCTACACTCTGTCCGTGATGGGGTTGAGGTCACTGGGCAGAGCAGCGTGGGAAGTGGTTGCACTGCTGCATCCTGTGTTGAATTTTGTACCGTGTGTAAAGAATTTACTGTAAATGTCCCAGTGGTTTCATTCTGGTTCTTTTCATTAGCACCATGTTCGTAACACATGGAAGTTCCTGACCTCAGCACCTACCTTAATCGCTGAGAACTGAGTGCAGCACCTGTGACTCCCAAGTCAATCCCTTCCACCTCCTCCCTCCTCTTCCTCATGATACTCTTCCCATATGTCATAGATGTGGGCTCTGGATGTGGATGAGAACTCATTATTATCCAAGCACAGGTATTGCAGGGACGGGGTGGTTTCAATGAGTTGGATGAGCTCCTTCTCACAGCTGTTAGTGATGCCATTGTTTTCAAGGCTACGTAATAGGGAGAAAAAGGAAAGAATCAGAGTTTGAAAACCTAGTGGTTGCCTGAAATCACTGAAACCAGAATGAAAATGAAGAATTACCAAGGGAATTATGGTTCCATAAACAACCCACCTGGTTTCTTTTCACAGCGGCGGGGAACCTATGACCCACAGGCCAGATAAAGTTCCCAGCTTACTTTGATCTAGCCCACAACAAGTTTCTGCGCTGGAGCACGAGCGCTGGCTGATCCTGCTATAGGCCTAAGCCCCAAGCCTCGGCGCCCAGCCGGGGCTGGAGAACAAGCACCAGCTGGCCAGGCTGGGGGGAGCCCAAGCATTAGTGCTCCTCCCACCCACCCACAGGCTGGAGCACAACTGGGTTGAGTATGAAGTGAGTGAGTGGAGGGGTTTTATTTGTGTTTTATTTTTTGGCTTCCAATTTGGGGGCCAGGTCAGTGAGGGTTTTGGGGGCAGGGCTTGCTTGTTTGTTTATTTGCTTCTCACGTCCGTGTGGCCCGTAACTGATTTTCCCCCGTGTCAGCAGCCCGACTGAGAAAAGGTTCCTCGGCCCTTCATCATGGCATCAACAAAATGAAAAGGAGAAAGAGCAGAGCTTGGACATACATTAGTTTCTCAAGACGGCTCTCCTTATCTTTCAGGGCAGAGCACAAGGCTTTCACTCCTCCATCTCCAAGGTTATTAAAGCTCAGATCAAGCCACCTCAGGGTGTTCTTCTGGGAGAACAGAGAGGTGATGGCGGGAACACAGTCTTCTGTCAGGCCAGCACCTGGTAAGCTGGAATGGCCACAAAAGAAAAGTTGAACGGAGGTATGGCTTCTACTCAGATCTCAGCAGACTGGGTGGAGAAGGGCTCCACGCCACCCTGCCTCCCACACCCTTTCCAGCCCATGTCCTGTCCCCAGAACCCTTCTGCCAGTGTGAGGGAGGCAGCCTTGGCCAGCAAAGAGCTCCTGTGAATGCACAGACTCCTCTGCTGGCCATCACCTGGCCCTTTGTTTCTTAGACCCTGGTCCCAGTCCTGCAAACTTTCAAAATAGACACTACCTAAGCCCCCAACAGGGATTCTCCCATTGCTGTAGTTAATCCACCTCCTCAATCGGTGGCACTTATGTGGATGGAAAAATTCTTCCATCTACCTAGCACTGACTACACCGGTGGGTTTAGCTATGCTGCTCAGGGGCAGGGTGGATTTTTCACACACCTAAGAAATGTAGTTAGCCAACAACTTTATAGTGTAGACCAGGCCACAGATAGATGCTTAAACTGATTATCAAACGCAGTCCCATTTAAATGGATGTTAAAGTTAAATATGTGCAGAAATGTTTGTAAGACCAGGGCCTGTATTAGTAATTGTGCCTTGATATTAGTGGAAACCACCATAAGTGCTAGTTTCAGTGCCCTGTTTTCCATATCAACAGTTACACCAGAGCATCTCTCTCCAACTGTACCTCAGTTTTTCTAGGCAGCAACCTTTACTCTTCAGGCATGTCGCAAGTATTTTAACCCCTTCATCCCCCACGGAGTTGCTCTGCAGGTTCAAGGAGACTGCCATGTTGCAGTGGAACAGAGAGCAGATATTAGCTATACTCTCCTGGGTGAGGTTGTTAGAGCGAAGGCTTTAAGGACAAAGATACAAGGAGAAAAGATCAGGACCAACCGACAGACACCAACCAACAGACACACCACCCAGATTTCAAATTGTAGACAGATGACTGCTGTAGCACATATTTTGTGCTTACATGGACATGTATCTTTTAGACACCCTCCCCCCTTACCAACTCCCTGGATTGCTCATTATGAACTCAGAGTCATTCCCACTGGTAAGTATTTGTTGCATAAGCCCTTCATGAATGTCAGATGAATGGCGGGAGGGCTAGACCCTCAGCTGGTGTAAACTTCAGCCCTCAAAAGCATCTAGTACAGGCCACTGTCAGAGACAGGAAACTGAAACAAATGGAGAACTGGTCTGGTCCTGGAAGGCCTGCTGATGCAAGGGGGAGGGAGGACAGGCAAAGGGGGCAGTTGCCCAGAGCCTGGCAATTCCCAGCCACCACCACCATTATTGCAGCAGTGGCAGTGGCCAGAGCTCTGGACCCTTTAAAATCACGGCCAGAGCACCATGCTCTGGGTGGCTCTGAGTGCTGGCAGGAGGGCAGGGGGTGCAGCACATTGTAGCAGTGCTGAGGGCTGGCTGCCTCCTGCCCTACTCCTGCTGCCTGAGACCCCACCCCATGTTGCCCAGGGGCCTAGCAAGTCTATTGGCCTCCCTGGGTCCTGGCAATTCTGGCAGATTCCTCTGTTCCTATCCAGGAAGACCCCTTAGACGCTTCTATTCACCTCAGTGACTGAAGCCGATATTCAGTACTGTTCAGACTGTTGCATAGTGTTTTCATCAGCTCATCATCGATGGAATTTTCATCCAGGCACAGGGCTAGCGGAGTGAATGTGGAGGTGACCCACATGGTGAGGTCAAGAAAATGCTCTTCAGGGAGACAGGAGAGGTTAGCACTAGTGGAAAAAAGCAGATTTTAAACAATAAAAGATATAACAACAAGTAACAATGATACTTTTCCCACTGGTATCATTTCCCACCCAAGGATCATAGAATCATAAAATCATAGAACACTAGAACTGGAAGGGACTTTGAGAGGTTATCGAGTCCAGTCCCCTGCCCTCACGGCAGAACCAAGCACCGTCTAGGTCAGGGCTACTCAACATGCAGCCCATGAGCCACATGCGGCCTGTTTGTTTGCAGCCCATGGTGTGGTTTGGATTTACATGGTGCTCAACATGCGGCCTATGGCTGGGAGCCAAAACAAAAAAGTAGTCAATAGAATGGCCTTCTGTTGATATGATTTAACCGTTTTAGTGGTTAAATTCCTGGACTGTCATTGCTCATTAATAGTGCTGTCATATGGGTAGAAATCGGGTAAATACTGCATTGTATTAATATCAGCAGAACTGACTTAAATGGGGCCTGTGTGATGTGTAGTCTTGCCTTAATCTTTGTATTCACGCCCCTCAGTGTGAAAGAAGCTATTTGCATATGTATTTGCATGTTTATGCAATCACACTTAAGTTGCAGCCCTCAGCATGTGCTGTGAGTATCGTGACCCCTGGGGCTTCCAAAGTTGAGTAACCCTGGTCTAAATCATCCTGGATAGGATGTCTAAGCACTCTACCAAAGTTCATATTACTTGGGGGAAACAGAGGCACAGAGCAGTTAAGGCCAAAATAGTCAAATCGGCTATTTGTTTTGGATGCCATATTTGGAACATTTAGAGTTGGATTTTCAAAGCAGCCAAATGCCCGTAGCGCTCATTCATGTCAACCGGAGTTGTAGGCATTCAGCTCCTCTAAAAACCAGGTCCAAAGGGGATCTCAATCTGAGCACCCCAAAGCTTAGCATCCCAAAATTACAAGAGACTTCTGAAAATCTTGACATAAGCGAAAGCTCATAGTCATATAGATAGCAACAGAGTGAGCAAGAGAACCCACAGAATAGGGGTGGGGAACCTTTTTATGGTTAGGGGCTGTTGACCCACAGAAAAATCAGTTGGTGGGGAACAGTGGGGGCTGGAGTGCCAGCACAGGCTTCCCAATGTTGGGGTGATGGTGAGGAGCCCAGAGCCCCGGGAGCCAGATCCAGGCAAGCTGGGGACTGCATCTGGCCCCTGGGTCTAAGGCTCCCATCCATGGCATAGAAAAAGAGCCAACGTGATGTATGATCCTCCTTCAAGGTTCTATAGAGAGCCTTATCAAATATGCATCACCATCTTCTTTCCCTCCACTTAAACAACCTTTGTCCACCAATTACTTCCATGCCATTCAGTTGCCCTGAGATAAAGCGAGGCTCCCGCCTTTTCCATTTTCAAGTTCCTCTTAAAACATACCAGCCATGATACTTCTAGCAAATCTTATTGATTTATATAGAAAATCCATTTTGTTGTCCACATTCCATGATCTCTGACTTCTTAATTTTATACCCCTCGGCTGTGAGCTCCTTAGAACAGGGGCTGTCCTTTCTTATACTCTATAAAGCACCTAGCATAAAAGCTGAGAAGGAAATGGATTTTTGGTTCACTGGCATTTCCAAAAAAAAAAAAAAAAGTTTCAGATAGAGACAAAAGTAATTTTTTTAGCAAATTGAAAAGCTGGAACAATTATTTCAGGTACAAGAATTATTTCTGGTTTCATTCCACCCAAAATGAAACCTCTTGTTTTTGTGTTTGAGCATTTAACATAGTTTGAAAAATAGTATTAACAGGAAATTTGAATTCAAGACGTTGTTTCGAGCCCAAACATTTAAACAGTTTGTTTAGAAAATATTGAAACAAAATATGTGAAAATGAATTAGTGAAATATTTGTGTCTCTTAAGTGGACTGGTTCTAAGCTGTATTTTCTGCTATTAAAAAAAAAGAAGTTTCATTCAAACAGTTCCTTCCAGCTCTACCTAGCACATCATGGATACTATGGCAAACAAAATAAATAATAATAATAATAATAATCTGAACTAGGGATGTAAATTAATAACGGTTAACGGGTCTGCAGAGCATCCCCACTGGGATCCTCAGTGTGGGGCCAGGAGCTTGCAGCCAGCTCCAGGGAGCTTGAAATCAGCCCTTGCGCAGGAACAGAAACCCTGTGGGCTGAACCGTCCTCCACCTGGGATCCCATTTAATTGGTTAACCGCTTAAACGTTGGGGCTGCCTAACATTTAGCTGGTTAACTGATTAATCAGGATTTTACATCCCTAATCTGAACAAGGAAAACAACAGAAACATTTTTCCTTTCTTCTCAGCCATTAATTCAGATATGGGACAGAACTGCAAAATTTGGTTCTAGATGTTCCCTTAGTTTGTGGGATTACAGATATTTGATTCAGATTTGATGTTATATAGTGATGGGGACAAATAATGAAATTTGCAAGCAGGTTTGAAATTCCCTGAAGTTCATGCTTGGACTTTGATTTGAGTTCTTGTCATTTATTCTCTTTTGGATCTGGTATCTTTGTGGGGAAATATATTCAGGGACTTCTATTTTATTAGATTGAACTAATGAACATATCCCAAGAAAAAGCCATTAAAAAGGAAGGGGATAATTACATGCAGTCCTTTTTCTTTTTCTCTCTTGTTTTCCTTTTTAAATTTGGCCAAGGAAAACACTTTTTCTGTGCCTCATTCTTTCCTTTTCGCTTTTCATTCTTCTTTTTCTTTTGGAATCTGGATAAAAGAAAAAGATTACATTATAACTATGGAAACGTGGTGCTATAAGAATTACTTTTCTATTTATCCTTCCACAGTGGTTTCCATATAAATTAACCACTCTAAGATAATCTGGTAAAAGAAGCAGTAGCAATGTTATTATTTTATCAAGCAACACAAACAAAAAGCTTATGTTGACTCAAGTTACAAATCCAAGCAAGCTCAGTGTCTGAATATCCTAGGATATATTGCCTTTGTGTATTGCATGCAGCCATGAAAATTGCACTGCCTTTTTCTATTAGATCCCATTGCACACTCGTGTGTAAATTATTTTTTTTCCTTTTCAAGTCTCTTGTAGCACTATCATTTCCCACCAATTGAATATCTGTTTCCCCAAATACATTCATTTGTATTTATTCAAATAAAATCAAACTTGATTATGTTTTGCACAGGTTTCTAATCTCTAGATTAGTGTTTCTTAAACTGTGTTCCACGGTGAGGCAGTTGGAGGTGTGCCACGGAGAACAAAAGAATTCAAAATGGCCCCCCTTAAAGGGGCAGGCAACCCTTTTTTCCCCCGATCCTTCTCCCCCCCCCCCCTTTTTTTTCCCTCAACAAAGAAATCCGTGGTGTTCCTCATAAAAGTATTGTTTGGTGTTCTTCGGTTTTAAAAAGTTTAAGAAACACTGCTCTAGATCTATATTTATGTATACCTTGGCCAATAACCCAATCAATTAATTCAGTAGAGTTAGGATGAATTTGAAGTTGAAAGTACAAATAAATTCCTGGGTAAGCATGTCAAAGCATGTCAGTGCCTCAAGTGCTTTAGAAGACTAAGAACAACACAAGAATGGTCATATTGGGTCAGATCAAAGGTCTGAAACTCCCGTGCCTGGGAAGACAATAGTGATCATACTATGCCCTTGGCTAGGTCATAAGCAAGAATCAAACCAACAATCTCTGGATCTTACAAATAAGCTCTGTTGCCCAAGCTAAAAGACCTGGCTCTGTTAACCAAGGATGTAAGAGACTCATCAACCTGACTATGTGGCTCAACCATCACTAAAAAGGGACAAAGCACCGTACTGAGAAATGTGGATTACATACTGCCTCAGGAGATATGTTAATGCTACAGGAGGTCTATGGGGAGTCTGTTCATGAAGAATTTACTTTACATTGTTTGTCAGTTGGATTGCTCTGTTTTTATTTTACATTTTTACTTTAATATTTAACAACCTCTCAGATGGGACTGTACATTCAGAAACCTGATTCTATGCACCGCATCTCTATTGGATGACTCAAAAAACCATAACTGTCTCCCATTTGATGTTCTCAAGCTAAAGGTATATGTTGGACAGGGCTACTTTTAGTAGGAAAATTCCCATTTTGATGATAAAATAAAACTGCTTTGATGAGAGGCACAGAGCTTTTTGCAGCAAAGTTGGAGCAACAAAGCATCAGCATAGATACTACATTTGTGAAGTCACTGTGACTGACCTCCTGAAGATATCCCACAATGCCCTCCAGGATCACTCTGCTCACTGTTTTGATCTCTGTTGCCTGTAATGGGGCGGCTGCCCCACTCTAGCAGTGAAAGGGTTAAGAACAGACTAGAGGGAGCCTGCACAAACCTGGCTAATCAGAAGAAGGGAGAAGTCAGCCACTCAGGGCCAGGTTGGGCCCCATAAAAAGTTGCAGGGCTAAGAGATTCTTGCTTTGGCCAGGAAGGAGCACAGGCTCTCAGAGAACTAAGGAGGTCCACACCTGGGACACAGCATTGCTGGGCAGGTAACAGTATAGCGTGATGGCGAACCACTGCCAGGCTGCAGGCCTTGAGTTAAGCGCTGAGTGGGTGCAAAGGTCATGGGGAAGTGGCCCAAGGAGCACGCACAGTAGAAAGGAGAGAAGGAAAACAGGATATGGCTGCCACCAGCAGGTCCCTGGGCTAGGCCCCAGAGTAGTGGGGCCTGAGTTCCTCCCACTTCCCTTGCACCACACCTGGCCATGGAGAAGCAAGCCCTGTATAGACTGCGGCTTGAGGCAAGGGGCTAGACTGTGGGACTGCAGTTGGCCATGGCAGCAGGTGCATGGACTGAAGACTGCAATGCCCCTGCAAGGGAGATGCCATGGACCAAGGGAGCAATGCAGATTCAGGGCCAGAGGGTGGAGATAGGAGAGTGGAGAATGGGAAAGACAACAACCAGAAGGCAGCACATGCTCTGAATTGAACTATTTCCCAGTGTGACCAACAGAAGGCATCAAGGCGATAAGTCAAGCCCCGTTACATATCTTAGGAACTGAAACCAAGCCAATCAGACCAGGAAGCTCAGAGTGGTATACTAGGCAGCCTATTTACATGCTGAATACTAACAGCAATGTGAATCTGGATGCTGGGACCGTTAACCCTTGTGTGCAGAGACCAAAGCTGAGAAGATTGAACACGGAGATCCCCTAGCTATGAAACCCTGATTTCTCCCTCTCCTTTTTTCTTAGGCTTTGGCTATGCCCTCTCTCAGTCTGGGAAAGGATGAAAGCATGCACAGAAAGTCCCTGTGATGTTGTTTTTATTAAACGAGAGCTCCTTGCTGAGGTCCCAGTGACCCTCCCCCACACGACATATTATTTCAATAAGAGGCAAAGGAAGAAAAATCAATTAAAACATGCCTGTTGCCACTCTCCTCTTCATCCTTTGTCTCATATCCAAAGTGTATTTTATCCTCTTCATGCCTTCGGAATAAGAGGAATTTTCTTGGGCTATGGTGAGTAGCAAGATGTTGGCAGATGTCCTGGAAAGCCTTCTGTTTGGGGTTTTCAATGTTGAAGCTTGGCAGAAAATAAAGTAAAACTGAATTACATCTTCTGTAAATATCTTTCTGACCCACAAGATGACCCACCTCTATTCTGAAGTATGACATTAAAATACATGGATGAATCTCATCAGGGAGAACCTGGCTTAGTTTCTGTGAGAGGAAGGATATGGTAGGTCACCTGAGAACTGGTGAGTCTGTCTAATAACTTGAAATGGCAAATGTCCACTTACCTCACTGATTGCAGTCTGCTGTCTGAGTTCAGAAGACTGTACTTCAGGGTAGTTACAAATGTCTCCCTTCCCTGAATCCCGTTCACCTCAAGGGTGACAACGCCAGGGTGAGCTGGAATAATGTCGTCACAAATTGCAGAGGCAGTGTCTTCAGGAAGGTCATCTAAAGTTATTCTATAACCAGAATGAGATCAACTTATTTAGAGAATTTGATAGAACAGAAAAATAAAATGAGAAATGTCAGGGCAAACCCAGGGTGGTCTTCACATGTCTAATATGAAACTGAATGGTTTTATGGCTCAGAGGTGACCTTGCAAATAAATAGGAAGGAGAAAAAAAATGGGCTAGTGGCCTTAAAAAAAACAAAAAACAAAAAACCCTATTTGATACATGAAAGAGGCCCGTGTTTTGAAATGGAAGATTTTTTTCCTGTTAGACCATCAAAAATTGAGATTTTATCGACTTAATTCTTCCTCTAAGATGCTATGGCCAACTGGCAAACAAACTTACTGAGAGAGAAAGTGGCTTTTTAAAAATACAGGTTAATAAAAGTACAGACTTTTAACTAACAGGTATTTAACTCAAACTCAGATACATAAGCACAAACAAACTTCTCTTTTTTAATACCCAGTCCCATCAAGTGAGGTCTGAAAGGCATCAGAATCCATGTCTCTGAGATGTGCAGGAGTCAGCCACCAAAACCAGAGAAAATCTCAATTTGATAGCTGGAGATTTTAAGAAGAAATTCAAGTACAGGAAAAATCCAAATCTAAAAGAAGTGGGCAAAATATGGCATACACCCAATTTTCTTTTCCTTTTCAAGAAGGTCACCTTTAACACCATATGCATTCACTACCAATACAGCAAAACAAAATGATGGCTTAGAATACCACTTGTTTTAGACACAACAAATCCTGCATCTTGGCAGGTGGATAGACTAGACAACCCTGGAGATCTCTTCTAACAGTATAGTTCTATGATTCTGTACATTGCTTTACTATTCAGAACAGTTCTGTGATCTTGGTGAGACCTGCACCAGCCAGGCTTGACATTCACTGCATGCATTGGAATGATTGTGCTGGCTACCTGCACAGAGTGGAGATTTCACTAAGTAAATGTGCAGCAAGCTATGATGCACCACCAGACCAGGGGAATTTGCAATTGAGGAAGGCCATTAGAAATGCTGAACCTTATCAAGGCATGCTGCCTTGGCAGAATTAGGATGGGGGTGTTAATGGAGATTAGTGCCTAATAAACTTTGTATTTTAATGAGATGCCTAGTTCATGACAGAGATGATGCTTACATACAGCACTTACATAAGTGGAGCATTCCATCATAAACACACTTCACGGGCATTATCATAAATTAATCTTCACAACAGATTCATCTCATGTTACAGATAAATCAAATAGAGACAGTGAGGTTAAGCAACTTGTCAAAGCCACCTCACAATGAGTCAGCAACAGAGCTGGGATCAGAACTCAGGATTTGAAAGGAATGAAATTCTTCCCTGTGCAGAGGGCCAGCATGAGGCACTACCTTAAGTAAATCTTATTTAACCACCCCACCCACCCCAAGTTTAAGTGGATGGTGCCTTACATACACAGGTGAGTTTATCATAGAAATGTAGGACTGGAAGGGACCTCAATAGATAATCTAATCCATTCCCTCACCTGAGGTAGGACTAAGTCTTATCTTGGCCATCCCTAACAGGTGTTTGACATTCCTGGTCTTAAAAACCTCCAACAGAGATTTCACAATCTCCCTAGGCAACTTATTCCAGTGCTTAACCACCCTGACAGCAGGTTTTTCTTAATGTCCAACCTAAATCTCCTCTGCTGCAGTTTATGCCCAATACTTTGTGTCCTGTCTTTGAAGGATTCTGCACGGACTTCTCCTGGTGGTCAAAACCACAGACTGGACTTCTACACAGAGTGCTTCTGTTGATGTGCACAAGCTGAAATTGTTAACAAGCAGCATCACTTTCCCCATAACCTCAGCCATGCAGAATGCACCACCATCCACAGCCTCAGAAACAACTCTGACGTTAAAATGAAAGAGGCTGACAAAGGAGATGCTATAGTTTTCATGAATAGGTTGAATTATGAATAGGAGGTTGCTAGGCAACTCTCCAATACCACATTCTACAGGTCGCTATCCTCTGACCCCACTGAATGGTACCAAAAGAAACTACACCATCTACGCAAGAAACTCCTTGAAGAAACACAAGAACAAATCTACACAGACACACCCCTAGAGCCCCAACCAAGGGTATTCTCTCTGCTACACAGGAGCCGTAAACTGGAAATCCTCGATACTGCATCATCTCAGGCTTTGGCACTCTTACAGCATGATTGTCTGGCTATATGGACTCTCTCCACAGGCCCTATGCAATCAGCACTCCTGTCTTTGAGACACCACTGACTTCCTGAGGAAGCTACAATCCATTAGTGAATTTCAAAACAAAACAAAACAAAAATAAAAATAAACAAACAAAAAACCCCAAACCCACACCATCCTGGTCACTATGGATACAGAAGTTCTCTATGCCAACATTCCACATAAAGATGGGCAAGGCATCAGGAACTGTACCCCCAATTATGCCACACAGCACAGCTAATGGTTAAGCTTTGTGACTTTGCCCTCACAATCATTTCAGATTTGAGGATGATTTATACCTTCACACCAGAGGCACTGCTAAGAGTACTCTCATAGCCCCACAGTACCCCAACATTTTTATGGCTGACTTAGCACGCTTCCTCAGCTCTCGTCCCTAAGTGCCCCCCCCTCCACTTGTGCTACATTGATGATGTCTTCATCATCTGGACCCACAGAAAGGAGGCCTTGAAGAATTCCGCTGGGAGATTTCAACAGTTTCCACTCCACAATCAATCTTGGCCTGGACCAGTCCACACGAGAGATCTACGTCCTTGACAGTGCAAATAAGTGATGGTCAACTAAACACCACCCTATACCAGAAAACTACTGACTGCTATACTTACCTACAGGCCTCCAGCTTTCCCCCAGAACATATTACACTATCCATTGTCTATAGACAAGCCCTAAGATACAACTGCATTTGCTCAAGACCCTCAGACAGAGACAATACTCACCTGAGGAAGTGAAGAAACTGATTGACAGAGCCAGAGAGGTACCCAGAAATGCCCTAATTGCTCTGGCTGAAACTAAAATAAGTCACACAAAAAGTGGAAAAGTGTCAAAGTAGAAACTTCATGCATCTGATGAAGTGAGCTCCAGCTCACGAAAGCTTACATCCAAATAAATGTGTTAGTCTTTAAAGTGCCACAGTCATGGGCAGCGAGTTGTACAGGCTTGTGGTGCCCAGGTTCCACCAATATTTGGAGCTGGAGTGGGCCCCGCTCCCCCTGCGTACATCCTCCCACCCCTGCCCCACAGCATCTCTCCTCCGTCCCTGGCCCAGTCCCGTCCCTGCCGTGCGCAACCTCCACTGAGCTCCCCCTTGCTGGCTGCTGCTGCCATGCGCAGCGTGTTCAAACTGGTGGGTGGGGAGACACCTGGGTGTGACATAACGTCACAGCCCAGGATTTTAAAACTGCTGGGCGCAGGGTTGCACCGCGCCATGCAGCTGAATTGAGGGTTCGGAGTCGGGGGACGGAGCGCAGACTCTGGCCCCACAAACTGGAAGGCAGAAGGTAGGGGAGGGCGAGGGCTGGGAGAGGAAGGGGCTTGTGCAGAGGAGGAGGGGAGAGGGGAAAGAAAGGGGAAGGCACCAAAGGGACAGGGTAGAGGAGAGACAAATGCCAGGGGGCCAAGTGAAGACAATGAAGAAAAGGTTGCACCGCGCCATGCAGCTGAATTGAGGGTTCGGAGTCGGGGGACGGAGCGCAGACTCTGGCCCCACAAACTGGAAGGCAGAAGGTAGGGGAGGGCGAGGGCTGGGAGAGGAAGGGGCTTGTGCAGAGGAGGAGGGGAGAGGGGAAAGAAAGGGGAAGGCACCAAAGGGACAGGGTAGAGGAGAGACAAATGCCAGGGGGCCAAGTGAAGACAATGAAGAAAAAGGCAAGAGGGGAGGGGTCAGTGGGAGGGGGACAGGTAGAAACTGGGAGGGGAAAGGGTAAGGGCATTGGGGGCTGGAGGAGGAGGTGCCATTTTAGCCATAGGGGTTTCTTGTGCAAGGAGGTGCTGGTGCCAGGGGATTCTGGTGGTGAAGCAGAAGGGCAGACACCTGCAGGGGAGGGACCACCACCAGAGGAGAGAGGCAGGGCAGGTTTGTAGAAGCTCACATGATCAGAGTGGGGCTACTGGGGGAGTGGGCAGAAGGGGGAGAGAAGGGCTGGTGGAGGGGGGCAGGTTGCAGGAGGGCTGAGGGCAGTGAGAAGGGCAGGAGTCAGGACCGCAGAGGAGGGGGAGGAGTTGGGGGGCAGCAGGCAGCAGGGGAGATGATGGAGCAAGGAGATGAGACATGGCAGCAGAGAGAAAAGGTCAAGGTTTATAAAATATTTATTAATAACATGGTATGCTGCCTATGGTCAGTTTGTGTGTGTCCCGTGGTGCAGTTTGGGTTTATGTGGGGATCAACACGTGGCCGGCGAGTGGGAGCCGAAACAAAAAAGTAGTCAGTGTAATGATCTTCTGTTGATATGTGTTTCAGTAGTTAAATTCTTGGACTGTCATAGCTCATGAAAAGTGCTGTCACATGGGTAGAAATCGGGTAAATATTGCATTTCATTAATATCAGCAGAACTGACTTAAATGGGGCCTGTGTGTTGTGTAGTCTTGCCTTAATCTTTGTATTCATGCCTGTCAGTGTGAGAGAAGCTATTTGTATATATTTGGGGCACAACACAAAATTAATTTTGCTCATGGGGGGAAACTCTTAGCCTACACTGGCGGTTTCTTGTGCAAGATTTTTGTGCAAGATCATGTCCACACTGCCATGTGCAAGCTGTGCTTTTGCACAAGAGCATCTATGGCAGCGTGGATGCTCTCTTGCCCAAGAAAGCTCCAATGGCCATTTTAGTCATAGGGGTTTCTTGCGCAAGAAATCCCTGCTGAGCATCCACACTGCCCTCTTGCGCAAGAGATCTTACACCTGTTAGAAAAGAGCATAGCTCTTGCGCAAGATGCCCTCTCTTACCACACCGTATTGTAAATTTCCTTGCGCAAGAGCAGGCGGGCAGTGTGGATGCTCTGTGGGTTCTTGCGTAAGAACGGCTGTACTTGCACAAGAAGCCGCGAGTGTAGACATAGCCTTAGAGAGAACACTTCCCCCAGCCTCTCTGCCCTCGAGTTGATGTCACACACATTTGGTTAATGTAATTGCAGGATAGCTGCATGCGGGGGGTTTGGTGGGGGCCAAACTAATCCCTGTTGGTAGGAGGATGATGGGAAAAGCCCTTCGAGAGGGGTGACATGACACCGTTTACTTCTGGTCATGTGTCCATCTTGCCCCAAGTGTGTTACCTCCAGAGGTGTGGCTAATGGGACACCATAAAAAATTATACAAACCTGCTGCCTATGGTCACCGGACTCCTCGGGGTTTTTTGCTGAACCAGACTAACAGCTACCCTCTGACACTTTCTGCTTTTTGTATGACTCATTTCAGTTTCAGGTTGTTGATCTCCTGGTTAAGCCAGAGCAGCTTCTTATCATACTTCCTATCTTACCCATGTCCTGGGATAGTTTGCTCTTGTGTCCTTAATAATGTCTCTTCAAAAACCTATAAACCCTCCTGTACTGTTCCCCCTTAGACTTGTTAGGCTCACCTACCAATTCTGACTTTTCTAAAATATCCTTCTTGAAGTCCATTGTCTTTATTCTGCTGTTTGTCCTCCTACCTTTCCTTAGAATCCTGAATTTAATTTCATGATCATTTTTATCCCATATGAGTGTGAAAGGGATAACAATTTGAAAGGCTAGGTTCTACTATCCACTACTGACCTGGAAGGTACACTACTACTGGCTTCTCTTCAACACTCTTGCCATCAGAAATCAAAAGGAGCACAACTAATCCTGCTCTGGTTGCCTTTTATAGAAATATAGTATTATTCTGCAGTCACTGTCCAAAGCCAGTGTAAAAGAGCCATACTGCATTGTTGGCCACGTGTTTTCTCTCTCTCTCTCTCTCTCTCTCTCTTCTCCTCCCCCTCATGGAGTGAGCGAAACAAAGAGTTGTATTTACATGCAAGAGTCCCCCTCACAGCTCGCTTCCACGACAAAACGAATTCCATCTTCTTCTTGCTGCACACTCAGCATGGTCATTCTAAGCTTTTGTAAAAGATGAGCACACACCTTGTGTAGCATAGACAATGAGATTCCAGAGGCATTCAAACTATAGGGAGAAAAACAGATTTAGATGTGTTAATATCTCTACCAGAGTCTGCAGGAGTAGATGCGCTGCTAATTTGGAAGACCTGTCAGCAGAGAGTAGTTGTGATTGCAGAAATGCTTGCAATGGACTCCCTTGGAGTTTTGGTCTAGAGTACAATATGTAGTATTCTCCTATCAGATACAGAAAATATCAGGGCGAAGGCGTACTGCACAGTATTTAATTTAGTAAGTAATGATTGAATCTGGTCTGAGGAGCTGATGGTTCCCCATGATGGGACCAGAAGAGCCAGGAGCCCTGACAGGGTAATGAATTGGGAGGGGAAGTAAGTGGAACTTGGAGGGTAATAGAAAAGGAGCAAGAAAAGGCATTAGAGCTGCAATGCTTGTGGGGATTTGGGAAGAGAGAAGGGCAAGGCTGAGAAGGAAAGGAGGAGGATTTGGTTGGCCTGAGCTAGGATGAAGGATGAGCAGAGAAGACAAGCGAAAGAGAAGAAGAGGGGGGATACCTCAATATGTTTGAATAAGGCTCTCAATATGAAGCTCTCTGAAAAGTGACACTGAGGCTCTCAGTGAAGATGTTGACACTACAACGAGGAATGTGCCCAGGAAGACAGACACAGGCTAGCTTTGATCTAGCACTCCAAAAACAACAAGATGGACATTGGGACATAGACAGTGACATGGGCTAATCTTGCAAGAATGGACCCAGAGGGTGGCAGGCTTGGATACCCAGTGCACATCACCACAGCAATGTCAATCTTGGCAGTGCTAGCGCAGGAGCTAGTGTGTTGTCTCAATGTTCCCAGCTCCAATGTGGACATACTCCCAGGAGTCCATATACAGGGAGGTGCTGTTTAACTGCAAATCCTGAAAACTCAACTTAGGCTGTGAGGTTCCTTGCTGGCTCATATATAACCCAAGTAACAAGGATTTTTCAGGCTCAATTTTTCCCTAAGTTTCACCTTATTGATTTTATTGGGCCTGATTCTGATCTCACATACAGCAGTGTAACTCCACAGGGTCCTATGACATTTTCCCTTTATTCACACTGGGACTAGTGAGATAAAAGTCTTATGAACTCTGCTAAAGTTCGGTCGCATTGATTGTACTTACTGGATCTGTTTGCATTTCTTTAGCAAGGGAAGCAGTTTGATAATATGTGCCTCTTTCAGACTGGCCAGTTTCAGCTGCCTGATTTCCCTGGCATGCTGCACGCTGTACAGTACCACCTGTTGATCATCCTGCCCTAGATTGTTCTCCAGCAAGTCCACTTCCTTGACCTCCTCCAAAGCCCTTATGACAAACTCCTCATCCTGAATCTCAAACAAACAATGCAACAGCTCCAGAAGGAGATTGCTCTGCTTTTCTTGCCCCTGGCAAATAAGGAGTGCCTTCTTAATCCATTTCAGCAACTCATTCTTTGAAATGCCTGTCTCGGTTTCATAGTATCTTTTCAAAGGCTTCAGTGACTCATCGTTGTTCAGTCCACATAGAAAGCGAACAGTTAGGATCAAGTGGCTTTTCTTCTCCACAAAGGCTTCTTTCAAGAGCTCGAAAGCTTCCTTCTTATTCCAGTAGGTGAACAAAGCAGCAAACAGCTCCTGCACACTCAAATGGACAAAGCTATAGATGGTTTCCACAAAAATGTCTCCCTGCAGTAATTCTGTGAGAAAAGTCGATGGACCTTTGCACACCTCCAAGTTACATTTCCTCAGCATGCTCTCATCAAACAACACTTTCTGGTCCCTCATACCAGCATAGGCTAATGATCCAAGGTTATGAAAAAGGTTTTGCGTGGAGGTCTGTGAGCGACCATGGGACTGCAATAAAGTGGCCACAAAATAGGTAAATATTTGGGTGGTTGTGCTCACTTTTTGAACAAATTCTTCACCGTGCTTCATCTGAAGGTTCAAGGTTGTACAGACGATCCAGCAGATGAGGGGGACGAAACACATGGTGAATACTACATCATTTTCTTGGATGTAATGGTAGGCAATGGCTGCTTTCTTTTCATCTTTGAAGAACTTCTTGAAAAACTCCTTTCTGTCTTCCTCCAAGAAGCCCAAAATCTCTGCCCAGAGATCAGCTTTCATATGGGTCTCCAGCTTTGCAACGGCTAAGGGTCTTGTTGTGACGAGAAAACATGCCTCAGAAAGGCTCCTGCTGCTGAGAAGACTTTCTACCACAGCTGCTGCTGAGTGAGGTGTGTCCAAATCACAGGATAAGATTTTACTTTCATCATAATCCTCAGGAAACCTGAGTTCATCAAAGCCATCAATGATGAACAAGACTTTACTTGGGCAAGACAAAATTTCCCCAATTGCTGGCTTTGGATGTCCCCAATTTTGTAAAATCAATTGAACTAGGCTCAGTTTTTCTGTTCTTCGGTTCAGTTCCCTGCAGCTCCAATGAAAAACATAATCAAATCTGCCCTGGTATAGTGTCCCACATGACCAGTCGTACATAATTTTTCCAACTGTGGCAGTCTTCCCAATCCCTGCTACTCCTTGTAAAATCACTTTTCTAGTTATTGTACCATCTGATAATGTGTCAAAAAGATGTTCCACCTTAACATGGGAGTCCTCAAAGCTGCTTGGCTTCCTCATGATCTCCATGTGTCTTTTTCCCCTAGACAGTAGTTCATGTTCTTTATCTTCTACTTGATGGTGTTTTTTTACTATAAAGAGTGTTGTATAGCGGTCTTCTAAAGACACCCATTCTCCTGGCCGGGAATTATAATCCTTCACCCTTCTAAATTTTTCCTTCATAGAGGTCACATAGTTCACTCTGTGATCTGGGAATGGGAAGAGAACAGTTTATTAATATTCCAGCCTATTTAAGAACGTATTCTTAAATATATCACTGTGACAGGAACAGTCATTTTAAAAGGACATTTTATAGTAAATACGGCCTGAGTTTCAAAGCTCAGCTGTGAATCTAATTTCCTTACAGTTTGGATGTCCTCCCAAAATCAATTTCCAGTTTACATCTAGGCTACGTCTACACTGGCCCCTTTTCCGGAAGGGGCATGTAAATTTCACCAGTCGTCGTAGGGAAATCCGCGGGGGATTTAAATATCCCCCGCGGCATTTAAATAAAAATGTCCGCCGCTTTTTTCCGGCTTTTAAAAAAGCCGGAAAAGAGCGTCTACACTGGCCCCGATCCTCCGGAAAAAGTAAATGCCGTGGGGGATATTTAAATCCCCCGCGGATTTCCCTACGACGACTGGTGAAATTTACATGCCCCTTCCGGAAAAGGGGCCAGTGTAGACGTAGCCCTAGAGAAACTGGACAATGATAATACTGTCTAAGCCATGTCTTCACTAAACTGAAGATAGACACTGCTGCAATTGATATTCTGGAGTTTGATCTAGCAAGTCTAGTTAAGATTCACTAAATTGAACTCAGAGGGTGTCCCATCAGCATCCAGTACTCCTGCTTCTGTGAGGAGGGATAATAGGGAAACTCTGTTGCAGGGATGGTGGGGAAACTCAAAACAAGGTACGTTGACTCCAGCTATATAATGAATGTAACTGAAGATGCAGATCTTGATTAAGCCTTCCCTTTTAGTGTAGACCTGGCCTTCAGAGCAAAGCCATTTTGTTTCCACTGAACCACTGCAGTCTAGGAGGAAGTTTCAGTTTAAGCAGACTTGGGATCTGCATTTTGATGCACTGGGACCTTCCGTTTTGAATTTCACTGTAAATGGAGTTGCACTCAATTCGAGCACATTTCAAGCACGTTTCATTGTGTTAAAACAAAAACAGAATTTTAAACAGATTGATACACTTGCAGTTTCTCAACAGTATGAGCTAGAGTGCAAACTGCTGGGCAAAGACTTACCCATGTCTGGGGGCTTTACAGAAACAGGCCTGGTTTTCCATACTGAAAGAAAAGATACATTTCATCATGTCCTGGAAGATGTGCTATCCACCGAGTATATGTCATGTCATAGCTATGGTAGCTCTACAATGATACAGACATTTAGGCCCAGAGCCTCAGCCCCTTCTAACCAATACACAGTGCAACCCAGCAAGGAGCATGAAGGTGGCCTTAAGGGCCAGTATGACAAATGGCAGTTGTTAGTGTACAAGGAAGCTCCAGCTAATTCTTTTGTTAGCGGACAGGAGCAGAGATAGCCTAGGAGCCATTACTGAATTCTGTTCAGGTTCCGATACCTCCCTCAGCGCCACAGCAACAAAGCACCTTCCACTTGTGCATTGAGATGCCTAACATCTCCCCTGTGCAGTTCGTTCTCTCTTATATCATCTTCCCAGGGCGGGAAGTTGGATGCGCAGTGGAGCATTTTGTTGTGGGGGATTTGTTTTTAAAACAAACACTGCTATGTGGTTTTGTCATTAGAGAAGGCAAGGCTCTGTGGCCCTGGAGGATCACTCTACACCAGGATGATTGTGTGTGGCTTCAGGGCCACTTTACACCAAGATACCAAGGGGCTGCACTAAAACACAGAATCCCACTCATACCTGTCAGCTTTATCTATCCTTACAGACAGGGGCTAGATATCCATCCTAATCACCACCCACCTTCACCTGACTTTCTTCGCAACCTTTCAGCCAGATCCTTATTATTGATTTGATCGAGCACATTTATCACCACCTCCACAGCATACTCCTCTTGGTAGTATTTCATCAGCAGATCAACCATGTCTGTTACATCAGCTTTCTGCAGAAGTCCCTTGGGAATGTTTTTGTAGCCCTCCCTCAGTTCAGTGGTATTGAGTTTAAATTTAAACTTCTTTCTCTGTTCCTCTTCCAGCTCCTCCAAGATCGCCAGCAGGATGTCTAGGCACATTGCTGTCATTGCCCTCAGTGAAGGTCAGTTGCCCTAAAGAAAATAAGGTAATTAAAAAAAACAACAACCACACAACAGTGTTGCCCTAGCAAGCTGATGATGGTTACAGCCATTTTGATGAATCATATTAGAAATAAACAGGCACCAGCACAGATTAACTTAATATTTGAGGCCAGATACTCAGGTGGCCTAAATGGCTGTAGCACTGTATCAGGACCAGACCTTTATTATCTGCATGTGTGACATCTTACCCTATAGATGGCTCATTTGTAATATATACTGTACAAGGGGTACTATGGGCTCCTTATGGAACCAGCCTGTCAGTCACCATGGAAATAGGTCTTTAAATCTAGAACTAAAGAGAACAGGAACTATTGGGATTATTTGAAAGGGCACTTCTAGATACACAGAGTTGCTTCTTGCAGGAGAGGCCCTGAGTGCAGGTGTCTCTGTATTAAAAATGGGACCAGAAGGTCTGGCAGTCTCTCTGCCAGTCCTATTTAGGTCACATCTGCACAGGAAAAAAAAAGAAAGATCCAAAGCAGCAAATCTCAGAGCCTGGCACAACTGATACGAAGTTGTAGGGTTCCTGCTACAGGGTTGAAAATAGCAGTGCAGATGCTTGGCCTCAGTGTGGAGCCCGGGCTCCTCAACCTGGCGAGGGTCTCAGAGGCCAGGCTCCAATCCAAGCCCAAACCATTTTCTTTTTTTTTTTTCACTGCATAGAAATACTTTTAAGTTGTCCCCGTACAATGAACCACAAAGTCCTGTACATGCATCCTCCAAACGGTGCCATAACACATAGGAGAGCTGAATGGTTCAGGACACTCCGTGCGTGGTATGTCCCATACCCTGGGGTACAACAAAATGGGGAAGCCCAGGAACATTGGATCATGCTTTTGTTCCTTTCTAATCAGGTCTGCCAGACCCCAGCCTGCAAAGGGAGTCAAGCCTGCAGGGAACTGTTTCAAAAGCAGAACTAGGTTCAGCTGGTTCTCATGCTCTCCAGATCAATTGGCTTAAACCTCCTTTGGGGGATGGCAGTGTGATCGAGTGGTTAGAACATGGCTCCAGGAGTCAAGAGACCAGACTGTTAACCAGAGATTCTGCTACTGGTTTCCATGGGACCCTGGCCAGTCAGCTAAACTCTCTGTACTGTCAACTGTAAAATGGGGCTACTAATCCTTACCTACCATTGTAAAGTGCTGGAGAAAGGGTGCTAAACATGAGTAGATAAAGATCAAAGTCAGTGGATAGATTGGCAAGGCAGGAAGGATACCATTTATGTTTAGAGGTTGGGGGGTGGGCGACAGAGCATCTTTCTCTCCCCTCCGCACCCCCCTCTTCCTTTCTCCTATTTATTTCAAGTTTTCTTATCCCCTAGTCATAACTCTGGTCATCTGAAGAAGTGGGCTGTGCTCTCGAAAGCTCATGATATCATCTACATGTTTTGTTAGTCTATAAAGTGCTACCAGACCATTTGCTTGCTGTTTTTTTCCTGTAACAGACTAACTCGGCTACCCACTGAAGGCTGATTTGAGACACCCCTGACCCTGGAGTAGCAGCTCCAAGGCTGAAGCAGTGGTTGGGATATGAAAGTGGAGCAGTGGTGGGGCATAGGAGAGTTATATTAGCTTTTAGGAAAAACTTTCTTTCTGTAAGGATAGTAAGTTCTGGAATATGCTTTCAAGAGAGATTGTGGAATCCTCTTCCTTGGAGATTTTTAAGATCAGGCTGGACAAACATGTGTCAGGGATGGTCTAAATTTGATCCTGCCTCCGCACAGGGGGCTGGACTTGAGGGCTTCTTGAGGTCTTTTCCAGCCCTTCATTTCTATGACTCTATGATCAGACAAGCCTGGTTTCACTATGGCTTGTACACCCAAAAATAAATCACAAGTACTTTGGGTTCAGGGTTTATTTTATCTGAACTACTTGTCTTACAGCCTCAGATCAGGTTCTGATTTTGTCCTGTTTCTGTAAGAAAGACAAGAGGCTGTACTGAATTCTTACAATTCAGAGGGAGCCTTGGTCACTTCTTAAAAAATCTGATTAGGGAGGGGAAAAAAATCACAGCTGAGATAATAGAGATACACACAACTCAATAGAGAGTACCAGTGAGTGTATCCAAGAAACAGCCACTTCCTGCACATGTCACAAGATGTGTGTTTTCGGCACTAGAAAGAATTCCAAATGAAAATGAAACTCCCCAGCTCAGCAGCCATAGAGTTTCATTTCCTCACAATAACAAAGTTGAAGACACGTTCTCCTCTCATTCAGCTGGTAATCAGGGATAATTCCACTGAAGTCAACAGGTGAGATCAGCGTAAAACACATGGGGCAGAGACAGAAGAGTTTAGCCCAGCGTGTTTCAGACACTAAGGCCAAGTCTGCACTAGAGGGGAAAATTGAACTAAGGTATGCAAAAATAGTGTAGCTGGAGTCAAGGTACCTTAGTTCAAATTTCCATGGCATTCCCACTGCGAGAAGTCGATTGCAGAAACTCTCCTGTCAACTCCCTTACTCCTTGTGACCCAGTAGAGTATCAGAGTCAATGGGAGCATGATCAGTGGTCAATTTAGCGGGTCCTTATTAGACGCACGAAACTGACCCGAGAGATCAATCTCTGCAGCATCAATCTCCCAGTAAGTGGAGACAAGGCTTAACTTCCTGGCAGTGCTGGGAAAGGTCAAAAGTCAACTAACGATCATATCTCCACGCAAAGCAATAAATCTTTACATTTATTGTGTTGTTAAAAGATGGATAAATAGGACCCTTTCCTAGATATCATATGATTAGCAGAATTAAAGCAAGTAACAGAAAGAATAATTACAGAGTGAATGAAAAAGCCACGGATTGGTTAAAAAACACTTTGTTTTCTATCCACCCATCCCATCTGTGTCTTTCAGCGGCAAAGCTATATCTTTGTACTCCTACGTGCAGTATGCAATAGTATAGGTCCTTGGAGCTAGGGCACAGCTATACACAGACCTCCAAAGCGGGCCTGCTAGGAGGGATATGAGGGTGGAGAAGGATACATTGTCCAAAATCCACCTGAGCTAGCACAACAGTCAGAGGACTGCAGCAATGGGGTTCAGAGTATAGGAGGGGGCTCTTGTGCATTTCAAAGTGAAAGCTCCTGCATGGAGCCTGAGGTCAGTGCTTCCAGGCTTCATGTGTTGCTGCCGCTTTGAAATGCCACACTGCAGTCCGGGATCAGCTGGGAAATCCCCAGCTGATCCTGGGTTCCATGGAAATGCCGCACGGAGCCTGGGGTCAGCTGGGGACTCTCCAGCTGATCCCGGGCTCTATTTGGCATTTCAAAGTGTCAGTGCAGCATGGAGCCCGGGATCAGCTGGGGAGTCTGGGTTCCAGAAATGCCATGTGGAGCCCAGGGTCAATCCTCAGCATTTCAAAGAGGCAGCGCCACATGGCTCCCTGATTGTCCTGGGGATGCGGGAGCATGGGAAGTCTCCTCTCACCATCAGGGCATGAGTGCTTAGTGGGAAGGGGGGGCAAAAGGATTTCCCCCCACCTGCAGACCAGTCATAGTCTGGGGGTAGGGAAGCCCAGAAGCATCCTGGCCCTGTCCCTTCCAGAGAGGCCGGGGTCACTTCAAATTTTTTTGAAATTATTATTGCCTACTCCTGCCCTAGACTGAATCAAAACCCTGGACACCTGAACACCTCTCATGCAATGAGGAAGTTTGGCTTTGCAGCTGAACTTTGTAGCTCAAACCCATCTTCAGTATTTACCTCCTTTTATGCAAGTTACTGGTGCTGTTAAACACAGAAAGCACAGCACATTTTTAAAGGGCACATGCACTGCATCTTGGGAAAGCCCCTATCTTCACTGAAATACACCAAAGCTGGAAATTTAGTTCTGATACTACATTCCCTACCTTCTCCAGGGAATGAGGATTCTAACTAGAACGGGAAAAGATCAAACTCTGCTTCTCTAAAGGATCATCAGGCTGTTTGGAGCACTTTAAGAAAAAGAGGATCTCTCATACGCCCTACTTTGCTTGGATCTAATCCCACTTCTGCACAAGCAGAACAGAAAGTTTACAAATTTACCTTTAGAACTTCTTCAGCTTTAGATAAGCAAGTAACTCACATGTGAAATCTTCACAACATCCACACAAAGATTTCCCCGTTAGTCTGTCCACATCAATACGTTTATTTTCATGTTTTTCCTCTCCCCCGTCTCAGGGAGCCTGTTTTTCTCTCTTCTTCAGTTTAGTTTCGCTTTCAACTCCTGCACCATCTACTGGCTGCTTTTTGTACAGCCTTTTGTCAGCCACATACCATTATCACAGGGCAGCAGTAAGAGTAGCTCACTGTACAAAGTTAAGTTACTCACCTTGGTGCAGTAACTGTCGTTCTTTGAGATGTGTGTCCCCGTGGGTGCTCCACTGTAGGTGCTGGGCTTGCCCCAGCGTCAAAGGATGGAGATTTTTCACAGAAGTAGTCCGGCCGGACTGCGCATGCGCGGGGAGTGTCTTGCGGCATTTGCACCTTTTTGCACTGCTCGATCCGGTCTGAGCCAGTTCCTCATACCCACCTCAGTATCGGGAAAATAGAACCAAAGCGGGGAGGTGGGCGGGTACTGCTGTGCAGACACCTACAGTGGAGCACCCACGGGGACACACATCTCGAAGAACGACAGTTACTGCACCAAGGTGAGTAACTTAACTTTGTACAGTGAGCTACTCTTACTGCTGCCCTGTGATAATGGTTCTCCCCCTCCCCCCATATCATGGAGGTAGGTGGGAATCGGAGTCTTTATCAGTTGGCAGATGAAAGAACTGCGGCCGTTAAAGATTTATCCAACAGCCATCTCTGCTGTACAGCGGGAGTCTTTATCAGTTGGCAGATGAAAGAACTGCGGCCGTTAAAGATTTATCCAACAGCCATCTCTGCTGTACAGCGTAATGGGTCTACAAAGGTGTGATAGGACGCCCACATGGCTGACCTACAGATATCTGCAAGGGGAACCCCTCTGAGAAAGGCAATGGAAGCTGAAATGGCTCTAACGGAGTGCGCTTTAGGGCGCTTGGGGAGCGGTATTCCCTGAACAGAGTACCAATGGGTGATGCATGACACAATTAAGTTAGCTACTCTTTGAGCAGAAATGGATTCTCCCTTGGAGCATTCTTCCAGGGACAGGAGAAGTCTGTCTGTCTTGCTAAAGGGCTTGGTGCCATCAACACAAAAGGCTAGTGCTCTACACACATCTAGAGTATGGAGAGCTGCTTCTTTAGCAGAAGCGTGTGGCTTAGGGTAGTATGCAGGTAATACGATGGGCTCATTAACATGGAAATTGGAACAGACCTTAGGTATAAAGGCTGGGTGATGTCTGAGGACAACACAGTCCCTCTGGAAGATGGTGTATGATAGCTTGCTGACTCTGCGTGCAGAGGTGATCGCGAATAGAAACACCAGCTTCTGGGTCTGGAGCTGAAGAGGTATTGTGGCCAACGGTTCGAATGGTGGGACTGTAAGGGTCTGTAGTACCAAGTCCAAGTCCCACAGCAGAGGGTGGGGGTGCGCAAGGGCGGGTTCAGATTTGTTAGGCCTCTGATAAACCTCTTTGTGAGGGAATGCACAAATATTGAAAACCCCTCTATAGGCTGTCGGAAAGCTGCTATTGCCACGAGATGTACTTTTAGTGATGCTAAAGCTAGTCCCGTTTGTTGTAGATCCAATATATAGTCTAGAATGTTACGCATAGGAGCAACTAGTGGGTTCATGCGACGGCCTGAGCACCAGGCGGTAAACCTTGTCCATTTTTCCAGGTATGTATTTCTTGTATTACGTCACCTACTATGTATGAGACCGTTTTTAACCTTCTCAGAGCATAAGACTTCAGTGTGAAGCTGTGCATCGTGTGAAGCTGTGGGTGGAGAAGGTGGCTGTGGTTCTGGGTGAGAAGTGTCAGGAATAGTGGTAGTTGGTAAGACGGGTAGTGGGACAGTTGCAATAATAGAGGAAACTGGTGCTGCCTCGCCCATGCAGGAGCGATCAATATCACTGTGGCCCGGTCTGTCTTGATTTTCTGCAACACTCTTGGAATAAGGAGCATAAGGGGCCCCCTCCATCTGATGAGGAATGTGTCCCCCAGTGAGTGGCAAACAAGGTCTGCCCTGGAATAGTAGCAATGACACTTCTTGTAGTTGTAGGTCACAAATAAGTCGATAAGTGGCATGCCCCATTGTAGGTTGTGAAGAGGTCGATGAGAGGTGTGCCCCATCGGTAAAAGAGGAAATGGAGAACTCCATGGTGAAGCTCCCATTCGTGATCTGGTTTGTTGATGCCAAGTAAGTATGATGCCACAAGAGTGATGCCATTGGTGATGCACCAGTTCCAGAGTTGGACCACCTCTGCACATACGGAGCATAAGAGTGCTCCACCCTGTCGATTGATGTACTACATTGTGGCTATATTGTCTGTTAGGATCTTTACCGTGGAGTTGTGTATGTGGTTGCGAAAATGCTTGCAAGCATTGGCGACAGCTCTGAGCTCCAGAAGACTGATATGGAGCAATGTCTCTTGGGGTCTCCAGCAGCTCTGTACAGAGGCTCCGCCCATATGCACGCCCCAGCCCAGAAGGGAAGCATCTGTCGTAATCTGGTATCGCGGTAGCGGCTGGTGGAAGGGCACTCCTGACAGCAAATGCTTTTCTATGGTCCATCAGTGCAGGGAGGTAATGACATTGGAAGATATCACCACATCCTGTGTACATCAGGGGTGGTATGATTGTGCAGGGTGGCTAGCTAATGCTGGAGGGTGCGAAAGCATAGCCTGGCATGCGTGACCACGAAAGTAGTTGCTGCCATATGTCCCATGAGCTTGAGGGCTAAGAGTACTTGAATCCTGTGATTGGCTCAACAGGTATCTATTAACAGCTGTATTTAATGAAACCTGGCCACAGGTAGGAATGCTCTTGCTGCCTTGGAGTCCAGCCTCGCCCCAATGAACTCTAGGTCTTGGGTGGGAAGCAATATTGATTTGTCCTCGTTCACTAGTAGGCCAAGAGATTGGAAATTTCATCTGGTGATGAATAGCATCCTGCCTACCTGTGAAGATGATTAGCCTATTACATCGGAGATGAGCGGCGATGACTGAGAGCACCTTTGTGAACACTCTGGGGACAGCTGAAAGTCCGAATGGAAGGACCCTGTATTGATAGTGGTTTTTGCCAACAACGAATCTAAGAAACCGCCTGTGTGCAGGGTGGATCATAACATGGAAATAAGCGTCCTGTAGGTTGAGAGCAATGAACCAGTTGTTCTGATGTAAGGCTAGGATAATTGATGCAAGGGTCACCATTTTGAAGCGCCAAAGACGTCGGTGCCGATGAATGGCGTGCGGTCAGCACTGAAGAGCCAGATTTAGCTGATTTGGACGGTGCTGTGCGCACCATAGACATGCCTGAAATGCCCAGTTTACTGCCAACGCTCAATCTGCCGTGCGAAGTAGCAGGCAGAGAGCGGGTCAGAAACGGCTTACTCTTTCCTGGCAGGGCGGCGATTGGAGAGGAAGCCCTTTTTTGTGGCTCTCTTGATGGCTGCAGGGCTGGGGGAGGGGGGGAGGAGAGGTGGATCCTTGAGGCTGAAGAGCCTTATCGAACAGGATCATCCTGAGCCTCATCTCCCTGTCACATTGCGCTCTAGCTGTAAGCTTAGAGCAGTGAGGGCATTTTTGTGGAACATGACCCTCCCCTAAACAATGAATACAGGAGGAGTGGCCATCCAGGGTGGCCATGGCCCATGGCCCTCACGGCAGGCCTCACATTTTTTTTAATCCTGGTGAACCAGGTATTATTCTAATCTAACTTCAACTTTAATAAACTTATTTTTTTTTTTAAAACAGGAAGAAGGTAATGAGTAACAGGGAAGATAACTGAAACTTAGCAAGTAAGGGCAAGTAAATGTATGGGAACTACTTTAAACTGTAACCTTTAACTTTAATTTAAAAAAAAAAAAACTAGGAACGGAAAGGAGAAGGTAAGTATAAACTGGGTATGAACCAGAAATAAGAAACAAGCTTGAATACCTCACGAACAGAAGAGATCCAAGGAGAGAGGTTTCCTCCATCTGCAGCCTGAGGGGAACTGGCTCAGACCAGACCGAGCAGCGCAAAAAGGTGTGAATGCTGCGAGACGTTCCCCACACATGTGCGGTCCAGCCAGACTACTGCTGTGAAAAATCTCTGTCCTGTGGTGCTGGGGCAAGCCCAGCACCTACAGTGGAGCACCCACGGAGACATCACTCGAAGAAGAAACAAGTTATTTCTTCATGCTAGGGTTTAATTTTTCTGTCAATGAGAACAAGACACAATAGCCCCTTTCCATTCTCACCTTTGCAGAGTGCAGTTAGCAAAACAGCAGATTGTGTTTTTCTATCCTGGAGGGCTGACTATCCTGGCAGTGTTTCTGCAGGTCAAAGCCATCCTCTAGTCTAATGGCTGGCAACCTTTTGAAGAAGCGACATTTGGGTTTTTTGTTCTATACCAAAATATGGTTGAGCGCCACATCACATGCAAAGCTCCAGGCTGGTGCAGGGGATTGGGGTGCAGAAGGGGGTGAGAGGTGTGAGCTCCAGGAGGAAGTTTGGTGGAGGAGGCAGCTCAGGGCTGGGAAGGAGATTGGGGGCCAGGAGAGGACAATCTGGAAGGAATTTGGGTGGAAGGGCTTCTGATCTGGAGCAAAGTTTGGAGTACAGGAGGGGGTGTGAAGTACAAGCTCTGGACATTAGGCACCTACCACAGGTGGCTCCTGCCCAGCATTTCAGGAAGTCTCAGCCTGCATGCCATGACTCCATATAGCACTCCTAGAAGTGGCAGGTTGCTGGCACATCTCTGTGGCTACAAATACACTACAAAGCTTTGCCGGAAGAGGTAATGCAAATGGAGAGAAATAGCATTTTCTCATGCTTCATTTGCATAATCTCTTCCAATCCGTTTTTGCACAAGTGGTTTTTGTGCAAAAAACCCCCAACCCTTTTTGCGCAAGATCCTTATGCCTCTCCCCAGGCTCCTCCCCTCCAACCCCACCTTGCTGCATGTGTAGCGGCAAACTGGTTTTTTTTTGTTTATTTATTTATTTATTTTCCCCTGTGTTTGAGAGTGAGGCTTTTTTTTTTCTCCCCCCTCCCCTTGATTGGCTGTGATTGGCAGGTGGAAACTGTTGGCTTCTAATTGAAGTTTGAATTCTAGAAGCCTCTGCTGATTGGCTGAGCCTTGGTAGGGGGAGGGGCTTTATAAGG